CAGTCTGCTTCCCACAATCCTTGCTTCTCCCTTGTGCTTCAGGGACTGTGATATTATCCAGTGCCAAGTTTTGTTCCAGTTCCCACCTGAAGGCCCCCTGAGGATACAAGATGGGGCCTTCCTCTGGGGTTACCAGTCAAATAGTTGATTCCCGTATGGTTAGGGTAAACTTCAAAGGGAATGCCACCTTCATTGACCTAGTAAGCATAGGTGAATGGAGCAATCTGCAGGCATTGTCCCCTTTCCTGCAGACATGCCAGTAAGTCCTCCTGAAATTAACTACTGGTAATCATATAGCAAGCAACATAATCACACATATTCATGGACTATTACAGGCATCTCCCACATCCTTCACAGTAACTTACCCACCAAGAGGATGGAAAGGAACTATGGCAGGGAAAATAACTAACTAGAGGGTTTAAAATAAAGCAGGAGGAACTAACAGGAATATGTAGATAATGTAAGCACTGCTCTTTCCAGTTTACAGCAGCATGATTCCCAACCCTTTAGTGACTCAATACTTTATTGGTCTAAGTGGGCACAGAATCCATTGCACCCTCTATACGAGGGTTGAATTTGGCAGGTGAGTTTTCAATGAGTTAGAGTTTTTGAAGCTTTCAATTTTTCATTAAACAGATTTGAGTTTTTTAAGCCAGTAATGCTGGACCACAGTTCAAGACAGGAAGTGAAGAAGATTGAACTGAAATTACAAGAAGACTTTGGGTGTGCTAAATGCAATTATCTAGAATGGAATTTGGCCAGTGTACCAGGGCTAACAGCTTTACTCTTGCATTAAAATTGACAGGGAATAGAGCAGGGCTGCATAGAAAAATGTATGTCAATATACTTGCTATTAGACCGCTTAGAAGAGCTCCAGGTAAAGTCTTTGTGAGCAGCAGACTTCTGAATGTTAACCATTCTGGTATTTGCTCTGAGGAGGAAAGGAGTGGAGAAAAGCTAGTCGCTGAAAATCCCCATGGGCTGATAATGTAGAAATACCAGTTGGGCTCATGTAAAGCTTGCTCTCATGAGTTCACCAGTAGGGCAGCCTGCAGTTGACCAGCTGTGCCCTCATTGGTAGATATATTCTTTTTTGTTATAAAAAACAAATATGAGGAGTTTCAGAGATAATTAGAGAATTTTGCTTGAGAGCTAAAATGAGGCCTTCTGGTGTTATAGAAACAAGATTTTTAAAGTATTTGGCATTAAAAGTATTTTTCACAAAAGTACAATACATAGCTTCTTAATTACATTGCTCTAAGGAACATCTTAAAACAAGGGCAATCATCTCTATATTTAGCTGACTTTCAGTTAAAACAAAGAACAAAAGCTTTGCTGTTCTGTCATTCACTTTTAAAGTTAGGACCTATTAGAATACCATGTTCCATGGTTAGAGATTTCTCTTTCATAATTTGCTTTCCTGTTTTCCTTTGAAGAGGTCATGTACCTAGGAAGCAGATATTATGGTTAGGCCACAGCTATCATCTTTTTGGTTTCATTAAACTTTTCCTTTCATTGTAGGATCTTGTTTTAGTTCCTTATGTAGTGCCTGTAGTCTGGTTTGTAGGATGCAAATGATTTCCTGCCAGACAAATTTAGCCTTTGGTGACCTCAGTGGAGTCAAGAGTGTTAACTATTAGGGTGTTGTAATTCTCTAGCTCAAAGTATAATATTCTCTTACTCTTACTGCAAAGGATAGATTGAGAAGGGGGGGGGGGACTTCTGTTTGTATTGACTAAAACTATGTTAAAGGGCAAATTTTCTTTAGCTTTAACCTGCCAATAGATTAATCTGATACCCAGTAGATAAAGATTCCTTATTTACTGTTTGAGTTTTGGCACTTCTTAGGCTAAAATATACATGTTTTAGAAGAAAGTTTAACTTACAAAAAGATTTCATTAAAAATTGCAAAGGGTAATTATGTTTAAAAGCACTATTTGTTAATGTCTGTTCATAGTTAATAATTTACTCAGTCTTTTTTTGTTGTGGCAAAACACATTTGAACTGAGTTAACAGTAACTGCAGAACCTTTCTTGTTTGTTTATTCACAATCTTGCTGTGCAAGGATCTCCCCACTCCTTTTAATTTTGTTTGGGTAATACATTTGTTTTTAACTTGCTGCAAGTTAAGTGAACTGCTGAAGGTTCAGCAGAAATTGGATGAATAAATATCTAGCTATTGGTTCTCATGCTGAATGATAATGCAGTGCTAAAGGAAAAGGTGGAACAGGAGAAGCCATTTTACATAGTTATAAGTAGGCTTGGAAGGATTAGATTTTTACTAGCAAATGTTTTATTGTATACACACAAACCAATGAAAAAATATTTCCCTTGATCATGATCAGAATTTACAGATAGGCAAATTTTGAATCACAATGTTGATTGTTGTTAAATTTCTGACCCTCCTCCTCATAATTTTGCACAACTGTGCAAAATTTAAATAGATAAAAATGAAAAAAAGCTTTAAATGAATTCAGCCAGTCCTTGTTACAAGTGTTCTTGTCTGAATCATGAGTTTGACTCTCCCTGACAAATATTTACTAGTTGTGAAGTGTTTTTAATTGTCCAATTTATTGGCATAGTGGATTGTTTGCACTAGTTTAGTCTAAGTTTTATGAAAACTCTCAAATATTTGAATTGCACCTGAAATTTAAAATGTAAATTTTTTGCACAGTTGCGGAATTATTTGTGTGTATGTGATAATTAATAGATACACAGACCTTTATAATCCATTCTTTTCATTGGTTTATAGCTTGGCCATCAAACTTTGCTCAGAGCAGGGGTATTTACCTTACCTACTTATTCATAAGTCAGGAGTTGTGTTGGTTTTGTGTTTTGCTTTTTTTTAACCTTCAGCTTTTACACATCTTAACTATCATAAGGCAAACATACAGGAAAAAAATTGATTTTATGGTTTTTGGCCCCATCCAATAGAACTCTCTAGAAAATCTATGTTTTGGTGCATGCAAAGCATCATGGTCTGTGATCTTATCAGATCTCTCCAGCAAAGTGCAGCCTGACGTGGCTAGAATGTAGATGGGAAACTTCCTAAGGAAAATCTGGTTGCTCCAGGAAGTTATGCTAGTAATTCTGTAGGTGGTTTTCTCTCCCCTCTGACTCAGTATTCAAACAGTGCCTCAACTCTGTTAGCAGACACTGTGTTGCTGGATGTATCTTTTCTCATTTGAGATGTAAAACAGTGGGAAACAATGTTTGATGCTATTACATAAACTCTTGTCCTTTAGAGATAGGAGACAGCCTATACTAATTGCAGTATATATAAAGTATACTTCAACCTGCCTATGCTTTTTTACTTGTTAATGTGCAATTCTGTTTATCTGTGGTTTGTACATTATTCTTTCCTGGCTACAGAGCAGATGTTTTAAAAGCAAAGTAAACACTGAGAGCAAAGGCAGAGTGTGCTGTTACAATATATACAGAATCCAGGCTGTAAAATCTCCCTGTGAATACTGCAGGATTTTGAAATAGTACTCTCTTAATATAAACTTGGTTTGTTTTATTATGGCTTCTATATTGAATGTTATAATGACAATCATACTGGTTACAAAACCTTGGGTGTATGTGTGCGAAGTGGCGGGAGAGAGGAACTATCTGTTGTATTTGTAGTTTGAAGGTAATATGAATGGTTCTGTTCACCCATTCCAAATTATATATAAAATGTGGGATATAAACTAATATAAATAATGGTTCAAAACTGTGTGAGGTAGAAGGTGATTTAGCTAATTCTGCATGGGGTGGCTTCATGTTCCAACTGCAAGCCTGGATGGCCAAGGCAGGGAGGGGGGAGTTATGATTTTCCTTTGCTATTTGGAGTATTTGGCAGATGCAAGTATTTTTTATGAGTTAAATAAATTTCCAAGTATTTCCCTGTTTCATAACAATGTAAGTTGTAATAAGTGGGCAAGAGCCAAAGGTAATTTACAAAACAAACACAATCAGAACATTTTTTTATTAATCTGCATTGGCTACAGAGTAACATTCCTGATTTTGTATTTATTATGTCATTGTGTGTGAGGTCAGGTCCTGCAGCACAAGAGTATAGTCATATAAAAGAGTAAAGTCAATAATGTGAATAGTCTGTTTGAACAATTTATTATGGATCATACAAGTAATGCTCTTTTGATTAGCTGTTCCCTGGCAATCATGCTTGTGTGAGCTGGGGGGGGTTGGGTATTTATAAGAGTAAAGCAACAACATGAAGTGGCAACAAGATCTTTTTGAAAATGTTTGTCCCTTGATGGGAAGGAGCCTAATTTCCGTAATCAAAGTTGGCCATCATGTTCTTTAGCATTTTGCATATCTCAGATTTAGAAGTCAAATGTGAACAAACTGCAGTCTTGGGCAGATTTCAGGCATGCATTAACACCTGTGAGTTTTTCTTCATCTTTCTTACAGTGACCAGATGTACCTCTTTTTCTTATATAGGTTCCTATTAACCTCCCATCCCGATTTAGTTTTTATTAGTTTCTTGTTGAACATCCCAGCGAATTGTGCTTAAAACAGGAATAAAATAATTTTATTCCTGCTGTGGCTGTGTGTGTAAAAAGAGCAATCAGAAGGGTAAAATGCCTGCAACCAGCATGGAGACTACTTAAAAACCATAATATGACCAAAAGAGAAGCACAAACTATTCACCTTGAGCCTCTCCCCACACACATAAAGCTGGAGCTTAGTGGAGTGATTGGAATTTAGTTGCATCACAGGTGCAGCTTCCTATGTAAATCATACACATTTTGCTGGGCTTTTACCAGTATGCAAATTTTATCCAAAGAGTTAGTTAAAGAGTGAATCAGGGTTGTAAAATAATTTAATTAAGTCTGTAAACAGTACCTCATCTTTGTCCTTCTGCTAACAGGCACATAATCTCTGTAAAATCTTCTAGTTTTCTTGTAGCAGTCTAAGGCATCACATGGGGCTCTCATAACCCAACTCAGCCCTGGAAACATATGCAAGCATTACTCATGTTGTGTTTTCTTGCAGGCACCGGAGAAAGTGGAAAAAGCACCTTTATTAAACAGATGAGGATTATTCACGGGTCAGGTTACACAGATGAAGATAGGAAAAGCTTCACAAAACTGGTTTATCAAAACATATTTACTGCCATACAAGCAATGATCAGAGCTATGGATACTCTAAAAATACAGTACACATCTGAGCAAAACAAGGTAAGAACATACAATTTCAGTTTCTGTTGTATGTTCCTTTGACTTCAACATTTCAGCACATGTGCCATCCTTTAGCATGTGTTTACTGGCTCGAGTATCCTGCAGAATACATAACATGTATAAAATACACAGACCTCCTTATAAAGGGCATCTTCAAATTACACATATAACTCCCACGCTAGTGGCCTCGCTCCTGCATCCGAACGCGCCAAGCAGCAATGGCGGAGCAGGTTTACTCACGCAGTGAAATCAGAGTCCCATTCCGCGTCTCCCTGGCAGGCCCGGCCGCCCCGGAGCGAGCCCAAGGCCGGGGAACCGGAGAGCGGCCGCTCGACACGCTCCGCTCCGCTCACTCCTGGTCCTTAGCTCCGGATGCTGCGGCAACCTCCGCCACTCGCGCGAGTGCCGCTTCCGGCTTTGTACCCCGCCCCCTCCCAGCTGGCGAGGCGGGGCTCGGCTCCCATTGGCCGGGGGCGGGGCCTTGGCATTTAAATGGCCGCAAAGTGCCGGGCGGCGGCGGGACCCGGCCCAGGCTCCCGGAGACGCGCCGTCGCTCTCCGCAGGCAGCGGGGCGCGATGTAAGTGGTCGATCCTTCGGGAACCTGGCAGAGGTAAGCACAAGATGGTCAGAGCAGGGCCTGGGCACGGTCCCTTTCCCCCAGTTCAGTCTGTTTGTAACCAAACCGGTTTTCTAGCTCATGTTCCAAAATAAATGTTATTCTTAAATCCAAATAGCCGGTCAGTATAGATGTTCCATTGTGCTAGATTGTGGACTGTTATGCCACCCAGGCTATCCTACACCTGCAGTGAAACAGTAATTGGACAACGTGATTGCTTGGTTCCCACCATGGCCCCTCACTAGTTATCTATGTGAGCTTTGCCGGTTTAGACAATTGTGAAATAAATCCTTCCTAATTGAACTAATAGCAATATCCATGAGTAGCAAACTCCCCCTTTGGGGAAGCTGCTGGCCATCTCCTTCTCTTTGTAAGATTGGCTGCATCTTACACCAGGCTGAAAAACAAGAAAACAGTGTTCTGCACAATTTCAAAATTGTTTCTATTTTGCAGTGTTCAAAATCCATTTGCAATTGTCTTGAAACATTTTCATTACAATTTACCTAAATTGTAATAGCCCACTTTCTTACTGGCAGTTACAGTTTTGGTAAACAAAATTTGAGAAGGATTAAAAATTTTCAACTGTCTGTAAAATATTGCAGACAAATTCAAGGCTGTCAAATATGAGACACTTTCTTCATTCTGCAATAATATTAAAAGTATAAAATTCATCATCACCTAGATTATAACATATTCAGGAGAAAATTCAATTTTTCAACACCCAAAATAAAAACAAGGCAGTTAAAATTACAAGAAGCGTAACTCAGATATCCATTTAAGGAAGTTAAAGTCCTATAGGTGTGTGAATGAAAGCAAGGTTATAGGATTTATTGTACTTCACGATGGGTGTGAGAGCTTATGCTACTCAATCTGTTATCCTGTTTAAGACAATAGCTAATTTCATCTAGCTTCTTGCATTCAGCCTTCTTTGTGAAGAACCTGTAAGAAATGATACCCAGGCTTTTTACAGTGTACATAGAGCATCTTTAGGTACAAAAGGGGTTCTGCAATATCAGTCAGAGCATATTCTTTACATTTGAAAAATAAATAGGAAATATTTTAGTAAAATCAGAGTTTACATTTGATGTTGGCACTTTTAAGAGCAGATTAATTGTAACAAAAAAGTAATTCCAAATTTGATGAATTACTGTGGAAAATAAATCTGTGAAATACTGGTTGTTTTTTTTTTGTTGAGATTTTCTTTACAGTAGGCATTTGGGCTATATTATTTGGACCTCAATATGAAGAGTCCAGGAAAAAAATATACAAAATGTTCTGAAAATAATTGTTAGAATAACATTTTATGATGAATTAAATGTGGGTATGGAATTAAGAGTAGAAAACTCTCTTTCTGCCAGGCCAAAAGTTATGTAGGTACTGTCGTAATACAATAAATACAAAGCACAGTCCTGACAGGTCTTTGTGACACCTGCCCTATAGGTGCCTGAAAACCAGACATAATTGAAAACATGCAGGTGGTCAATATTCAGGTCTTCCCACTTCAGAAACTTCCTCCCCATTCCCCAAAATATGATGAATATTAATATGCGCGTAGCCCTAACGTTTGTTGCATTTTCAGATAGTACAATCTGTGTGTGGCAAATCTCATGCTGCGCTTAACAATAAAAATAAATATACATCAGATTTCCCTCACTGATCTCTAGAAAATAGTAATAGATCTTAAAAAAAAAATGGAAGTTTGCTTGAAGTATTTGAAACCTTGAATAAACAAATTAATCTCAAACAAGAGCTTTAATAAGAATCTGAGTAACATTTGCTCCTGTGCAGAGGATCAAGAAGTGTAGCCTGTGCACTACTTACATCCCACTTAAACCCTCAAAATATGGCTAAAGTGGAACTTAAGTGGTGGTTAGGCCTTGTCTAGCCTTTTGCACAGGGTGAATTTCACCCTGTACGAATAACAATAATTTGTGTTTTCCCCCGCTGTGTTCCCCAGAGAAACAGTATTTTTTCTGGCTTCGCTGTTATTTACTTAAGGGTTGAAAAGTTTAATGTATATCCTTGAGATGTCAAGGGCTCATCCTCAGTCTATTACAGCATGTACCCTATGAATCGTCTTCTGTCTTGGAAAATCAGATGCTTCTGCAGAGATCTGGAATACTCACTGAAGAGTGTGTGTGTGTGTATATACATATAAAAAAAGTATGATATTTAAATGGTCCATGTGTGTATTTATTTAGTACCAATACTGTCCACCTAGGAAGTTTGTACTTAGACCCATGATTCAGCAAAGCAATTACACCTCTACCCTGATATAACACGGTAAAGCAGCACTCTGGGGGGGGCGCTGCGCACTCTGGTGGATCAAAGTTTCACCTATAATGCAGTAAGATTTTTTTGGCTCCCGAGGACAGCATTATATCGAGGTAGAGGTGTAACTTGCTTAAATGTTTTGCTGAATAGGGATTAACTTCTGCATGTGTTAAAATACAGCAAACAATTATAATGTATCCCTGTCAGTTAGCCAGATACCAGTTCTGCCATCACTTTACTGGCTGGACATTTATTCTGGATGAAATCCTGGTAACATTTCAGTCAGTGGCAAAACTTAGATTTCATTTTCACTCCAGAGTTTGATTCCTGATCTAGAATAGATTTGATTTTTAGCTAAAGTTGAAACCACCTCAAAACATTTAGCATCTAAGATGGGTTCAGATGATGTACCTGTGACAAGTATTGCAAGCTCATGCAATATATTTGGGGACCATACTGACATACATTTATGTATCACTGTGGGCCAGGGATTGTATACAACTCCTCCAAGAGCCAGAAAGAATGGGAGGTGATTCAGGTGAATCACTTAGGTTGTAAACACCCCCAGAGAGGTATCCCCTCTGCTTGCAGAGCAGTTAGACTTTGGCCTTCTAGAGCATTGTTACCTTAAGAATAAATGTGCTTGCTTTGAAAGAGCTGTGTGGTAATGTGCAACTTCCAGTAACACCCTGTTCATAGCCCTCAAAGCAAGAAAGCAAAACACAGATGCTGGCCTGTAGGCAGACTGGGGATACCACAGTGTAAGGCAGGGAAACTGTGCAGCCTTAAAGCCCCCCGGTTGGAGGGGAAAGAGACCTAGACCTCCACTCAAGAGAGATGACGACTGGAGTTGGAAACCTTAAGTGGATACCCTTGAGGGATGATGGGGAATGGGGGGAGAATACAGGTACCCTGAAACTGTGACAGCATCAGTGTACACTTGGCTAGAAGTATGGGATGACAAAGACGAAAGAGACCTTTCTCCAGTGTATTAATGAACATGTGCAACAATATTTTAAAAAATGTCAGTGAGACAACTTTCCCTTATGTTTTGTGGGAGGCATTTAAGTTAGAGAAGTGGTCATTATAATTATGCCAGGGCCATTTTAGCAGAGCAGTTGATTTTGGAAGAGAAACTAAAATCTCTTCAAAAACGCATAATTGGTACTTCCCAAGAAATAATCAATAATTTTTTGCATTTGGAAATAATGCCAATCATATGCTTTCAGAAATGTGCCATCCCATTAGTTTGTTGACCGTTAAACAGTTTTTATTAAAATTGCAAGTGTATTTAAAAAGCCACATTTTAAAGCTCTGTAAAGATGTTTATGCAACACAGATATGTAGGGTCAGATTCTCAAGTCGTACAAATTCACATAGGTCTTGACATTATCATATGAAAAAAGTACAATTAAAGCAAAGATATCAGCAAATTAAGTTCAAATAGCAAACCTGTAGGACCAGAATGGCTTTTACAGCATGTTCTAGACATCCTGTCTGGAGCATCTAGTGCCTCAAATACTTGAATGGTTTCATTGCTTCCTCAAACAAAATTGCCCAATTCCAGGTTGGAACCCAGCATAACACTACTCCTGGAGGGAAAAAACAATATGAGATTATAGGTCATAAAGAACAATATAAATAATCTAGCTAGTAACGTACTGGCAGAAGTCTTAGCAAACCAGGTATTCCTAGTTCTCCTATTGCCAGTTCACAGCAAGGAGAGCCACACATAATCCTCGGCAAACACTAAACATTGTTCATTTCATTAAACAAGTGAATAAATGGTGCTTTCTTCTAGTATTAAGTACACAGAAGGTTTTTTGGGATTACATTTTTGTAGAAGGGCAGAAATGTAATTTCAGCCATCAATTTATAACCACAGTCAAACTTTTATCATTCTCCTAGTACATGCCTTTATTTATCAGATGCTCTATCCTAAAGGGCAGCAGTAGGAGTGTGTGTCCTTTGTCACCTCTTCTGTTTGATAATTGCAAGGGGTTCAATGGTCAAAACAGAGATTCAGGGTACCACAATCCATGGTAAAAAATTTAGAATCGCTCTTACTGTAGATGATCTCAGCTTCATCTCAGTGAAACATGCGCTCCATTCATGCCTTACAGAAATCTTAAAGGCCTACAGCACTATGGCCCCAGTTTAGCAAACATTTAAGAAGATATCTAATTAGGATTAATTAAATGTATGGAGATAAAAGTGATCAGGTTGGTGAGATTTTCAATCTTTTATCTTAGCTTCAGCCATTTTGGAATGCTTTCCTTTACCACAAAAATCTCCTTCTGTCAATAGGATACAGTAGTGCTGAATTGCAGATAATGGCCATGTTAGGGTGACTTATTTCTTTGCTTGGTGCCAACAAGGCACTCAGTGCTGATGTATTCCTTATGTCTGTTCGTTTTTTCAGGCGATTTTACCTTTTTGCTGCTTGTCTTCCCCCATGCTCCTTGTTGAAGTTCTCCTATTAACGTACTGTTAATACCAGTTAAAGTGTAGGATACACTCCATGCCTTTATAGCCAGTGAACCTATCCTCCTGTAACAAATTTTAGTCATACAGGTTTCATTTTTTTCATTTAATTAGGAAAATTCTCAGCTGATCAGAGAAGTGGAGGTGGACAGAATAACAGCGCTAGAAAGAAAACAAGTGGAAGCAATCAAGAAGCTCTGGGCAGATCCAGGAATTCAAGAGTGCTATGATAGACGGAGAGAATACCAGCTCTCAGACTCTGCTAAATAGTAAGTACACATTGCTAGCACAAGGTTGACCCCAGGCTTCTTCCAGAGCTACAAATTAAATTGGACTCACCCTGCTTACATTATCTACTCCTGTATATCCCTTGGTCTGAAAATTTCACCCACCTTTTAAATTAGTCTGAGATTTATGCTAAAATTTAAAATAATTCTGTGTAAAATGTTTGTTTCCAAATATCTTCCTCTTTCTGAGCACACTGAAATCATTAGCCAGTTACCCTCCTTCCTAATGCTGAGCTCAGCACAGCTGGTACATAATTAAATTTCCCTTTGGGGAGAGCTTGAAAACAGCTGAACAAAATACATCAACATCAAGCAGGCAGGGCAGTGAGTTTATGTAACAGTAGTTTTAAAAGTACGTAAATTAGGGAATGAAATTTGGTGTACAAATTAGCCATATTTGAAAGTTCTCTAACTTCACTATGAGGTAAATCTTCCTTTGTCTAGTGTGGTCTAAATTCTAGTTCTGAGGTCACAGAAGTAATCTGGTGATTTGCTATAGCTCCTCGAAGAAGGAAAAAGTGCTTTTCACATTCATGGTCTGTGCTAAACATCTGTTCTAGGAGACTAAAGAGTTCCTGGTTATGAAAATGTAACTGTTTGGATTTTGGTGCCCATCTTTAGTTGAGTTTTGTTTGGGACAGATGGCCGGGCAGAAAGGGTAGCTTTAATGTGTTTTGTCTATTAAAAATAAGAGAGCCTTCTTCTGTAAGTGTGGGGTGATTTTTGCAGTAGATAAGCATAGTTTGGGATCTGTCTTATTCTGTATGTATCTGTAGCGCTCTTTTGAGTGGTCTCTGACTTCCTCATGTAATACTGATTTATCTAAGCACAAGAATGCGATAGTCTGACTAAATCCTGGCTTTATAAACCACAAATCTTGTGAAATCAGATTTCTAGACTAACTGCAGAAAACACTTACAGATTTCCTTTATCTATAAATGTAATTATACATGAGTAGACACCTGTTTGTTTCTTTGTTATTAATGTAAAGCCCAGAAAGTGGATAAATCACTTTAATATCAAGAGCAGTAAGAAAACTCCTGTCAAACACATCCAATCCTTAGGGCAGGGTAATCAATTATTTTTTGTCAAGGTCCAGACTCCAGAGACAATAATAATAATAAAAAGATTTCAGGGTCCATTCAAAAGTGTCTGGCAGTCCACCTATTGCCTACTGCTGCCTTAGCGTATGTCTATGCTGCAATTAGACTCCTGCAGCTGGTCCGGGCTAGCTGACTGGGGCTCGGACTGCACGGCTGTTTAATTGTGGTGTAGATGTTCCAGTTTGGGCTGGAACCCTGGGCTCTACGACCCTGCAATGTGGGAGGGTCTTAGAACTTGGGCTGCAGCTGTAACCAGAATGTCTACACTGCAGTTCCACAGCCAGAGCCTTGCAAGCCCGAATCAGCTGCAGATTTTAATTGCGGTGTAGAGATTCCCTTAAATATATCACTTGTTGTACACAATTGTGTAAATTGAAGAGATGTAGGGCCCCATCTACATGAGACTGGAGAGAGGGGAAGATACCACCCTTTGTTTATACTGGAACAACACGTTGCCTACATGGCAGGTTTTTTTACTCCAGAAAAGAATGAAATCAACTCTGAGGAAGTTGGGGATGCCTGGTAAATGCCTCTGGTATGGAATAAATAAGTGGGTATCTGTAAATTCAAGGCATATCTTGCAGGTAGTTAAGAGAAATAATTTATAACAGGTTCTTTGTTAAGTATATGGTTCTTCCACTTGGTTTGTGGGTAAATGATTATGCTTACTACTCCATATTTTGATTAAATGTTTTGTCTAAATATTTGGATTCATTACATCAAAACATTTACTTACACACACACACATATATATGTATGTATCTTATTTTGCAGTTACCTTACTGACATTGATCGTATTGCCTTGCCCTCATTTGTGCCAACTCAGCAAGATATTCTCAGAGTCAGAGTGCCAACTACGGGAATTATTGAGTATCCTTTTGATTTAGAAAACATTATCTTTAGGTAAGATTGACTGTATTCTGGCAATGTATGAAATAAATTAAAAGATATGACTTATGAAGTTGTCTGCAGAGACTCTACCCTTAAGATTACAGTGAGCCTTACACTCAAAACAGGATTAATATGGGCCAAATTTAATTAAAAAAAAAAAAAAACTTCCTATATCCAAACAAGCCCAGTTACCATGTATTCCAAACTGCTTACAAACACATCACATAAAATGTCAAAGGCCTCTTTTCAAACTTTTAGCTTGAAGATATTACCAACAACGTAAGAGTTACTTATTGTCAAATCAGAGAAATAACTTATCGCTGTAAAGAGATGCTGATAGAATGGTCCAGATCCAGCAGTTACTCAGTTCTCTGACACACTTTCCCAGCCTCAGTAGATCTCCTCCCCATCACCAGATCCTCACTTTCCCTGCTCTCTGCTCTCCCTCCAGCTCTTGATCCCAACTTGAGTCGTAGGGAGCAGGACCCTAGTAAGATCCATCTGACTAGATTTCCACTCTGATGAACCACAAGAAGCTAATCAGATTGAGAAGCTGCCTCCCTAGCTAACATGCAAGCTCCACTTCTTTGGCATATTTGACTGCAAGCTGTCCCCATCAGTGCGTCCTCTCCCTTGTTACCATCCACCAGCATTAATGCATGTCAATGAAAAATGTTGTGTGCAGTTAGGCCATGGAGGAGGAGGAAAAACACCAGAGAGCAAGACTAGGCATTCTCTTCTATTCAAAATGTTCTACCCATCTCCCAAACCCTGCTTCACTCCTCCTTGAATAGCTCTGCTTTTCCCATATCCCCAGTCCACACACACAGATCCACAACCATCTGCTTCCCTCCACCTGGTCCTGTTGTCCTCTCTTCTTCCTCCTCCTCCTCCATGTCCCCCTTTCCCCCCATATCTCCTATTGCTCTCTCTTATTTTAATATTGGAAATTCCCACAAAAATTAAGTTAAAGTTGCACAACTGCATTTTCTGTAAACACATCCACTAAATAATAATAGTATTTTGCTTTTATATACAGTATGTTTTTTCTCATCTGTAAATCTCAAAGCACTTATGAATAATTAGCTCTAGTTTAGAGTTTGGAAACTAAAGTGCAGCGAGGTGGAGGAACTTGCTTGAGGTCCTGTAGCTGATCTATATAGCACAGGTCTCATGACTCTCAAACTAGAGCCCTAAGAAATCATCAGTAAAGCACTGTCATGCATTAGACATTTAAGAGAGAAAAACGGTAGGATGATATGTCAGCATAGCAAAAGGTTAACGGGGATGCCCCAAGGTTCCGTACTATGACATGCTATTGCTCTTCCCTCTTTTTTTTCAGATGATTAAGGTGGCTAATTTTGAAGATGGCATAAAACTATTTGGGTTAGTCAAACTTAGCCTTCATCTTAACTAAAAAATAAAGATGTACTTTTAACTTGGGATAGCGAACTTGAAGTAAAATCCTAGCAACGACAAGACAACAGTGCTCAATTTTCACATGAGCTAGCAAGTCAAATTAAAGATTATGCTCCCCCGTGGTCTCCCCCATTGAATTTATCAGTACATTATTGACAAATGCCAGGCAGTGTGTATTGGAAGGTATAATCTGAAGTACTCGTACACATTCCTGGGTTCTCAATTAACTGTAACCACATAGTAAAGCAGTCTGGGCATCACTGTGGAAGTCCAAAAAGCAAACTAAATATTAGGATGTATAGAGAATGAGATAATGAATCCTGAAACTATTATTATATCTATATATAAATCATTCCTTCTTGTCTTAGCCGGAAAAAGGAACTCCAGACGGAAGATCGAAAGGATTGGGACTGTTCAGTTTAGAGAGGAGGAAAAATAAGAGGCAACATGATAGAAATATGTAGTAATGAATAATAGAGAGTAGATAATCCAGCACTTCTATTTACCTTCTCCTATAATACAAGAATAAGAAGACATTCAATGGGATTGAAAGGCAATACATTTAAAAATAATAAAAGGTGGGGGGATTTCATTACAGAATATATAATTTACCAGTGGAACTCATTGCCACAATATGTAATAGCAAATGTTTATTGGGAGTCAAAAGGGGATTAGACAGTTACATGGATAATGAGAAAATCAATCCACGTTAAAACAATTACTTACCTTACAGTTACCATAGTTCTTAGAGATGTGCTGGCCATGCAGATTCTGCTCTCGGTTCACATACACTCAATGTGCACAAAATCAGATATTTCTGAATTACCCACTCGCTTTCTGTAGCGGAGGATATAAGGGATGGGGCATAGCAACCTGCATTCAGTTCTTCTGCCAGTAGGACTCTTGTTAGTTGGATGGGCAATGTGTGTGGGCAACATGTCTCAAAGAACTACACTTACTGCAGGGTCAATAGCTGTATTTTTTTGTTTGAGTGATTGTCCACACAGATTCCACTCTTGGTGATTAGCAAGCAGTCATCGGGAGGCAGGTAAGCAGAGGTGTAATTGAAGAATGATTGTAAGACTGCCCTAACAAAACTTGCATCTAACCTGGAGGCCTGCACCAGAAATGGGAAGTAAAGGTTGGACTGAACTCAGTGTCACTGCTCTGTATATTTCTGAAATTGGGGACAGTGGCAAAGTAGGCCACAGAAGTTGCCTGGTCATGGGTAGAGTGAGCCACTAACCTGTCTGGGTGGGCCTTTGTTGGCTAGGCTCTTTACATAGTCCAAGACGATATTGATTGTCCCGTCTGAATAAAAAGACAATGTCCTAACAACATCTAACACGTGAAGTCATTTTTTGTTAGGGAGGAGGAAAGAAAACCATGAGATAAATGGATTGGTGGATGTAAAACTTAAGACACCACCATAGGCAGAAACTTTGGATGAAGACTGTCATTGTGATAAATTTGATACAGCAGGCCCACCCTGAAAGCTTGAATCGTTACTGTCCTTGTAGCTGATGTGATGGCTACCAACAAGGCAGTCTTCATCAATTGCTGGTAAAGAAAAAGTAGCCAAATAGAGTACCCATTAGTTCTCTGAACACCAAACTGAGGTTCTATGAACAGAATAGTTCCCATCATGTTTGAGCTGCTTACGAAGCCTCAGGCGTAGTTACACGACAAGATGGGCAACTTAAGCTCCACCATCTTGTATCATGTACTGGAGTACCTGTAGGCCCAACACAAAGGGCCTATACCAGGAGATCTCCTGAACAGAAGAAACCCTCTCACTATACTAAACAGGGAGGAGGGCTGAACGGCAAAGAAAACCTATCCGTGTGCTAACTAAAACATTACACTTGGAAAGCGAAACTAGTTTCTCACTAGAGCAAGGAATGAGGACACCGCAATGTTCTGTCTTGCAGCCAGGAGTGGTAAGAAGGAACAGAGTTGCAGCTGCCTTAGCCCTTATGCTCTCCACTATGGGAAGTGAGGGGGCATGAGGGGCACCAGCAGAGCATCAGATGAATCTGATCTCTCGAGCATGGGGTGCCAGAGCACCAAAAGTAAAATCTGTGTGGAGAATCGCTTGAAGAATAGAAGAAAAAAAGGGTTATTAGTATTATTTATTGTTGGTATGATTGTAGTGCTTATTCCACAACGTGGTGTGTGCACCTTTCTGTGACGCATCAGGTACTAGTTATGGCAAGAAACAGGATTAGATGGGCCACAGGTCTGCTAATGTATATCAATTCTTATGTTCCTTTATAACATGCACACCCGCATCAGCGCATTTGTCCTTCCACCAAAGCATCATCATATCCAAACGTATGCTGGCTCTTCAGCTTTACAAAAAAATCCTTGTTATTTTCAACACAGAACCAACTACATTGCACACGACACTCTAATGCACAACCCTCAACTCTGACATCATACTTTTTCATATACAAACAACATTTTATAGTCTTTATCACTACACGTGTCTCTATAGGGAAATATTTTGATTAGGGCTGTCAGTTACTCACTGTTAACTCACACAATTAACTCAAAAAAATTAATCGTGATTAGTCACACTGTTAAACAATAGAATACCAATTGAAATTTATTAAATATTTTTGGATATTTTTCTACATTTTCAAATATATTGATTTCTATTACAACACAGAATACGAAGTGTACAGTGCTCACTTTATATTATTTTTGATTACAAATATTTGCACTGTACAAATGATAAAATAGTATTTTGCACTACAGTACTTGTATGAGGTGAATTGAAATCTCTATCATGGAAGTGTAACTTACAAATGTAGAATTTTTTTGTTACATAACTGCACTCAAAAACAAAACACTGTAAAACTTTAGAACCTACAAATCCACTCAGTCCTACTTCTTGTTCAGCCAATTGCTAAGACAAACAAGCTTGTGTACATTTATGGGAGATAATGCTGCCGCCTTCTTATTTACAATATCACCTGAAAGTGAGAACAGGCGTTCGCCTGGCACTTTTGTAGCCGGCATTGCAAGGTATTTAGATGCCAGATATGCTAAACATTTGTATGCCCCTTCCCTGCCACCACTGCAGAGGACATGCTGCTGATACGTGTTAAAAAAAGCATTAATTAAATTTGTGACACAATTCTCCCCCAAGGAGATCAATGTCTCCTGTTCTGTTTTACCTGCATTTTGCCATATATTTCACATTATAGAAGTCTCGGATGATGACCCAGCACATGTTCGTGTTCTGAACACTTCCACAGCAGATTTGACAAAACACGAAAGGTACCAATGTGAGATTTCTAAAAATAGCTACAGTACTTGACCCAAGGTTTAAGAATCTGAAGTACCAACCAAAATCTGAGAGGAATGAGGTGTGGAGCATGCTTTCAGAAGTCTTAAAAGAACAACACTCAGATGCGGAAACTACAGAACCCAAACCACCAAAAAAGAAAATCCACTTTCTGCTGGTCGCATCTGACTCAGATGATGAAAGTGAACATGTGTCGGTCTGCACTACTTTGGATTGTGGTTGAAGTATGAAGGGACAAATGAATCTTTAGGGCATTTGGCACATAAATATCTTGTGATGCCGGTTACAACAGTACCAGGTGAACACCTTGTTCTCACTCACTTTCAGGTGACATTGTAAACAGGAAGTGGGCAGCATTATCTTCTGCAAATTGTAACTAAATTTGTTTGTCTGAGCGATCGGCTGAAGTAGGACTGAGTGGACTTGTTGGCTCTTCAACTTTCATGATAGTCTGCACTACAGTACTTATATTAGGTTAATTGAAAAATACCATTTGTTTTTTACAGTGCAAATATTTGTAATAAAAAATAAACTGAGCACTGTACACTTTGTATTCTGTGTTGTAATAGAAATCAATATATTTGAAAAGGTAGAAAATATTTAAATAAATGATATTGTGTTATTGTTTAACAGAGCAATTAATATTTTTAATCACTTGACAGCCGTAATTTTGATCTGACGTTGGAGAGAATTAAAGTTGTATGTGATTAGGAGAAACTGGAAGTATGCATTATCAGATTTTGTGTGTCAGAACTAAGTTTGATGTGGAGCTAGGACGTCTGTGCATGTTTTGGTTATTCGTTTGGTAGTAATATGTGAGCAGAGATTGCTGTGAATGTAAATGTTGGTGTAACACCTAATTTTCTTGATATTTTTTGTTTTAAGTGATTGTGTTGAGAGGAAATGCACTTGAGCAATTCTGAGTATTAGATCTGGAACATTTTATCCCTGATGGTATTAAATATGCAGTTATGGTCACTTTCATATAGAAGGGACCTGCATAATTCTACATCCCCTCCTCAAGAGCTGCATTCAGAAAGTTGAAGCAGATCATGATGGTAGCTTTCATATATAATGGCCTGCTCAATTCATTCTGACCTATGCTGGTATTTGTGATCCTTCAGCAAGCGAATTAACTTAAAATATGTTAAATAGCTTCCATGTTAGAAGTAGCTACACTTTTTATGGGTCTAGTGATTCCTGAAAAAATGGTCTACGAAGTGTCTTGGGTTCTACTGGTTGACCGCTTCTCTGTACATATTTAAATGACACAAAACAATCATTGTGCTGTTTGTTTCTGTTTAACAGAATGGTGGATGTAGGTGGCCAGAGGTCTGAAAGAAGGAAATGGATTCACTGTTTTGAAAGTGTTACCTCCATCATTTTCTTAGTTGCACTAAGTGAATATGACCAGGTCCTGGCTGAATGTGACAATGAGGTAAGGAATGAGCAGATCTCGATTAGGTGTAGGAAAAAAGAGAGGCTTGTATTTCTATGGGGGGGGGGGACCCACTAGTGCTTTATAAATGCATGTATTACTAACAGTTTGCCCCTACAAAGTTGGAAGTGCAGCATTATCAGTCTATAAAGTTATATGAAATTCAGTGTCATAGTGACTCTGGCTCTATTCTAATGTATACTGTGGGACAAAATTGTGGCTCTTGAGCTACAGACTTGCAGGGCCTTACAGCTTCCGCACAACCCAGAAGGACCTCCTGAGGAGCTTCTAACTGCTGCAGGAATCTTCGTTTTGCCTCACTCTTTCAGTGACAACCACTTTTCACACATTAATATTAAAAAAACAAAATATAGAAATGTCTAATATAGAAACAAAATGTCTAAAATAAAGGCTGACTATTGAGTTACAACCACTTCATTAATGGAACAGTCTAGTTATTGAAAGAAACCCATGTATTTGAAAGTCAGGAAGTTATAGTGCGCAATTCAAAAAACCAAAATGTCTGAAAGTCTAGAAATACAGTACTCAAAGTATAAATACCAATCCTCCTTAACTCTGAACACTGTTCCTCAGCTGTCTTTCAACTATGGGCCACAGACCACCACTGTCCAAGAGGAAGCTGCGCATACTGTGCATAGCTGCCACTAATTATGGGCTGGAGACCTGATCCCATTTACACTTTCATTTGCCAGCTGTGAGAGTGGGGCAACAATCTCCCACCAAAAGGAGAAGAGAAGGCAGGGAAAAGAGGCAGCTAAGATTGTTGTTAATGTACCACCATAAGTGATCTTCTCTCTTTACAAAATAGAGATTGAGTCCCTTTCCATCCATTACCTTCTGAAATGTTTTAAAGATAATTACTATCAAATATGTGGATGTTCTCTTTAAATATATACATTTCCTAATCCTTTTCTGACTTTATTAGCCTCTAGGCATCAATATCTTGCGGCAATGTGTTCTATAGGTTAAATATGTTTTGTGAAAAACTATTTCCTGGCATCAGTTTTAGATTTTCTGACTTTCTATTTCACGGAACAAAGAAGGTAAATAGTCTCTCTCTAATCTACCATTCATTATTTTGTATACTTCAATCACACCTCTTATTTTTCATCTCGTCATATGAAGTCCTTTCCATGTCTTTATTCGCTTTCACAGCCAATCTCCGAATCCTTATTTTCCCCACATCTTTTTGTGAGATAGCATGATGAAGACTGAACACAATATCCTAAGTAAGGCTATATGTTTGGATTTATATAACTATCTTATAATTAGAACTGGTCTGAAAATTGCCAGTAAAAGTTTAATTGGAAAATGCCAATTAAGTTGAATCTAAACTGTTTCACGAAAACATTTCTGGTTTGAATTTTGGTCAAATCACAGGTAGAGTTCTGATGGAAACCTCCCTATCTACCCTGGTTCTCTGCCAGCTCTCCTGGCAGGCTGCTGGGAACTCCAAACTTCTTCCTATGGAGCCAAGAAACCAGGGGGGCTCTTAGGGCTTTCATGCTCCTTGCCCTGGAAGCCTCATCTGCAGGGAAGCTGCACCATGTGGACTGTGCCATGCTGGGGACCCCCTGGCTTCCAGACTCCTGAGTGGGCAGTCCTGGGAGTGAGCTGGCCTGAGAATCTGGAAGGCCTGCATCCCCAGACTGCATGGTGGAGCTGCAGATATTTGGGAGCCCCGGCAGCTGTGAATTGAAATGCTTGTCAGTTTCATGCAGCTGCCATGGTTCCCGTGGAGCATGTTTTGTTTCAGAAACACCGAGTATCATGGTTTCTGAAATGAATTTTCAGTTTGTGGAAAATTTCAAACTATTGAAAATTTCCAGCTAATCAGAAATCTGTAGGTTCAACCAGCTCTAATTATAATACTTTCAGTGTTCGCTAACCCATCCCTTATGAATTCTCACATACCTTTCTGCTCTTTGCCAAAATGTGCAGTGGCGTCCAGAGGCTTTCATTGGGCTGGCCACAGTTATGTCCAGTAATATACATGAGTAGTTCAAATGACTTCTGATGTGCATTACCTTCCATTAAATTTTATGCATCATGCTGCCCATTCACTTAGCTTCAGGCAGGCTGGATCCAAAGCCCTCTGTGTGTGTGGATATAAAATATTAAGTAGGGTAGTTAATACTTTTGCTACAACTCTGCTGGGCGAAGAAAATCTGGTAAGAGAACTTGAAAATGCACTGGTTTTAAGGAGAACTTAATTTTGGATTGATGGTTGAGGTGTGAGTGATTTGATTTTTGTGTGTGTCCTGATCATGTATATGGTAATGCTTTAAAAATAATTGAATTTCAAATTCATTTGTCTCCTCGTAGAATCGAATGGAAGAAAGCAAGGCCTTATTTAAAACTATCATCACATACCCATGGTTTCTGAACTCTTCAGTCATTCTGTTCTTAAACAAAAAAGATCTTCTAGAAGAGAAAATCATGTACTCCCATCTAATCAGCTATTTCCCAGAATACACAGGTGAGCTTTTATCCTAGACTATGTTCACAGTAGTGACTTAAAATCAAATGTAAACTCTAAATGTGAGTGTTAATCTCCTTACCTTTTCCCCTTAATAGTTGCAATTTCCCTGCCTGCTTTATAAATGATTGTGTAATATATTTGAGGTAATTATTTGGCAACTAATTTTTTTTTTTTAATTCTGCATGCTAAAATATAGCCCTAGGTTGTGGTATAGAATAAGATGCAGTTTTGTTGTATTGAAAGCATAGGCCTTGATCCTGCAACATGTGGACGGACTGCTGAGCCACAGACAGCCCAACAGCAGCTAGGGCAATCTGTGTGACTATATTGTAAATTGCAAGATCAGGACCAGACGCTTTTAAAAGAGCTGATTTCATGCAGCCATAGTGTTGGAAACTTTCATTTAGCCTGACCTCTGGTAACACACGTTTCTTTTCTTTGAGGTACCTGGGCACAACTGTGGCATATCAACATGAATATTATTTATTGCTAGAGTCAGAATGAGACTGGAGTCTGATTTTTAAATATTTCAGCTTTTGAATGCAAAGTTGAAAAGTGTGCATTTTGATACAGAGGAAGATAATTGGTTTTACTTATAATATTGGGAAACTTAAGGAAATATATACCTCTTGTTCCCTTGTACTACATATTCTAAAAGTTTCCAGTACATTTTCTAGGTGCTTGCTAAATATATTGTGATATAGTTACTTTATTCTCTACTTTATAGTCATTCTCGTACTGTCTAGGCATTTCACAAATAACTGGATAAAACAAAATAGTCTAAAGAAAACCCGTTGGTGCATTTTCACTTAATAGAAAACGTTGCTGTTACCTGTACAACTTGCTTTAAAGTGGGTTCATTTGTATACTGAAATTCAGTATCTATTCAATAATCCCAAAAGAATGACAGACCTATACTGATAATGGATTAAGACTGTGATTTAAATCAGTCAGCATTTTAGATGCAGAACTGTCTGTTATAGTAAAATGCATTAGCTTGCTAATTACATCGTATTGAATCCTAAATTTAAGTTGAGAAAATTCCTTTGATTAAAATACTTACTTACAGAAAAAGTCTACCTCCCTCTTAACAAAATAAAATCCCAGGATGCAGACTGCCATAGAAACAGCTTATAATATGCAGAGCTATATCAAATATTCAAAAAGAGAGAAAACTAAGTAAAATAATAAGCTAATAAATATACTCTATCGTTCTGACAATTTATAGTCTTACATTATTTATACATTAAACATTGTTGGCACTTTGAGTATGTTTGTTTGTTTTAGGCTGCTATCATACAAAAGTAATTTGTAGGAACATTTTTGAGTGAACGTTGTACTGATGACAATGTTTTACCACAGAAGCTTATCAGAAAGTTTAATCATAACAGTACCATTTCTACATATTACAACAAGTTTAGCCCCAGTAGATATATAACATTATGCAAGCATATCAACAAAAAGCTATCTCCTGGTAGTTCTCATGCTCAAAAATAGTGTCTGCAGTAAATTATATAGAGCTAGGTATTTATTTGAATGGTCTGGCTGATATTTTGTTTGAACTACATAATGTTTTATAGCCTTTTAAAATATTATCCATTATGCCTCTAAACAGGACCTAAACAAGATGTTAAAGCTGCCAGAGAATTCATTTTGAAGCTGTACCAGGACCAGAATCCAGACAAAGAGAAAGTAATCTATTCCCACTTCACTTGTGCCACAGACACAGAGAATATCCGCTTTGTCTTTGCTGCTGTCAAAGACACTATCCTTCAGCTAAACCTGAGGGAGTTCAACCTGGTGTAAAGGAGAAACATTGCTTGGATCCACCTACCATCATCTACCCACCCAGCACAGACTAATAAAACATTGCTAGTGTGTACTAAAAAATTCCACAAAAGACAGAATGACACAGATACAAATAGAGTTGTTCTTTGAAACAATTTACTTACAGAAACAGAGGTTGTTCCTGTACATTTGCTGATCTTGAAATATTTACTGAAGAGAAGTGGATTAATAGAATTTAAAGGAAGAACTTACAATGTTTACAATTTTTTAAACTATACATTTTAAATATTGTTTTTATATTTCCTTAATTTTGGCTGTGAGATTTTTTTGTGACAACTGTGGTTCAAAGGGTATTTAAGAACAAATATTTTATAGAACTATATATAAATCCATTGCCATTCATCTGTTATTTTCTTAGGGTTTTTTATTGCATTTCATAATCATGAAAATTATAGTAGGAAATTTTAACCTAAGTTGCCTTAGAAATGATAAAGTGATGCTATTTTAGAATGCTAGATACTGTAAGATTTATCATTAAGTTAGAATGAGCTATTAGCATTTTAATGAATTTGGGGCCATATATTAAATTTAATCATTTAGATTTTTATGTTGGAAGTGTCTTTCGTAGGCTGATATGCCAAAAGTCTTAACATGTCTTTGATGTCATTTGGCAATAATACACAAGAGCCAAGTGTATAGTTATAAAGCACATAGAAGTGACAGCTATTAAAATGACAGTGAATTGCAAGTGCTGGGTAGGTGTTATACTAACAAACCTTAGTGGCTAGAAAGGGCATTCAATAGCTGAGGTTTCTAGGCCCTAGGTGGTTCCTCCAAAAGCCCTCTGCCATAGAAAGAATAAGACTGCCATCCTTGAGGATACAGTTGCATATGCTGAACTGGCCACTAAATTGCTCATTTCCGTGTGTGTGTGTATTTATTTATATATATATAAATATAAAAAAACCTCTATTCCTTACCATAGCCCCTGTATTTGAGTTTTACAAGCAGGTGGAGGAGGCATACTTAACACCTTAACCACACCATATTACTTTCAGAGGATTTTCAGACGCTAGAGAATTCTCACCAGCTTCTGCCACAGTAACAGTATCTATTTAAGATAGATGCACTAGACTTTTCCTAGTCACCGAAGTGTACCTTGAAATAGATCCAACAATACCACTGTTATGTCTAGTGAATACTCCTTAATAAAACTTTCATATTGACTTTTAGGATTAATCCAACCCCTCAGGATTTGACAAGATTTTTCCTCTCCTGCATGTAAAATCAACACCTTCCACCAGCCCATGAGAGGATCAGCTTCTTTTTGGGGCTGTGTGTTAGCACAGTGAGGCCCTCATCCTAATTTAGACTCTTGGATGCTCACATAATATAAATAAGTAATATTGGTAATTTCAAGCCCATCAGGAGAAGCCTGCTCTGCTCAACTCCAGCTGAGAGTCATAACCACCTTCTTAGTGCATAGTAGAATGCTCCCTAAACAATGCCAAAACCCACACACCTAAAGGGGGAGGGCTGATATCTACAGACTTAAAACAACAAGTATCACCTCCACACCAACCCAAAAAATCCCCCTGGGCTATCATCTATTATTTCTGGGGAATGCTACCATAACATCTAAAGCTGGCTAAGATCTCCCTCTGCAACAGGTATGATCATCCATTCCCAAACGAATGACTACTATAGGTTTCTTTATAAGTAAGAATTGACACCTGGTCATGAGGGGAATACGCATCCTATGAAAGAACAAGAGACCCTAATGAGTGGATCAAAATGGTTTGTTTCTTTAATGTTAGAGCAAGACCCAGTGCAGCATCCCCGTGTTCCTTTAAAAACACACAAGAGTTGACTCCATAATCACGAGTTGGAAAAACAAACATGCAGCTGTACCCAGGCCTACCCGCCCATGTAGGTGAAATTATTTATCAGCAGCAAACATGCCTGAGGCTGAATCCAATAAGGACAAAAACAACATACAGTGTTGCTCTTAATAGCTGGCACAGTCATTCATGCACAGCAAGTATGGGTTGGAGTTGTGAATATCTACAGTGGCCGAGCCTGCAGACCCTTGGACAGTTCAGCAAATTGACAAACATGACAGTGTGGAAGAGACAACAGATAGAGAAGCTACAAATCATGTATTTTGTTTCAATGGGTTAATCAGAGAGGAAGTCCAGAACAAAAATAGCTAGTAAAATCAATGTCTTCCAGGTCACAGGTAGTACTGCCATCTTCAACACACCTGGCATTGTTAACAGATACTTATCAGCTCTGGCTTGGATAGTTGGTAACAACACATGAAATCTCTTGCCACGAAGCGTACACACCAATGCCATTTGCTTCCAACTATCACGAACACCACTAGCTAAGTGAATTTTAATGGCTACAGAAACCTTTTCTCTGTTAAAACTGCATCCCAGTTGACCACAAAGAGCATGCACATTCACCATCATTAAAGCATTCAACATTAACCAAATCTCACTAATTCACAACCTTGAGGAGCTGAAAGCAAAAATGTGGACTCCCAATTGTTTGTTAGACCAATAAAATATGCTCTTACTAGGGCATCACATTACTACTGTTCCCAAGAGTTGAAAGAATCACCACTAATATCCTTCAGCCTGTTTACAGCTTTATCTAGCGATACACGATGGGAGGAAAACACATAGAATGCCAAGGCCCTGGAAGCAATCCATGGGACAGCCACCTACAGACTTCTAAGAAAACCTAGTCCAGTTCATACCTATTGGAACAACTTACCTAGGGATGTAGTAGATTCTCCATCACTTAAATTTTTAATTCCAGATTGGAGGTCTTTCCAAAAAAGATGCTCTAGCTCAACCAGAAGTTATAAGCTAGCTGCAGGAATACTAGATGATCACAATGATCCCTTCTGGCTTTAAAATCTATAAATCCTACAGGAATTGTTTTCCTATCGCACATACGCTACAAGCCATCACAAGAAGTAGGAAGGCACCTAGAAAGCTGCTGCTAGCCAAGAGCTACAATTCTGCATATCAAGTTTAGCGACTGTAATTGTTACAGGATTTTTTGCACAAGCTATTCTCCATCTCATTGATATAACTTTTGTCAAAAATAGGATTTACTTTCCAGTAATGCTAAGTAAGTCAAATTAATCGAGGTGAACCAGCAAGGAAACGAATGCAGACTTTATATTTTACTGAGTAGTGCCCCAGCATCACATGCCTGTAACTTGTTCACTTTCAAGTAAAAGAGGGTACAAAACTTTTAGATCACTGATTTATTTGCAATTAGGATAGCTAGTGGATTAACCAAAATTCACCTTTTAGACAGATTCCTACTGGCAAAAACTTCAAATGTGGGCAATGTCTCCAAAAGAGGAAGTTTGAGAGTTGGCAAATCTGCAACTTCTCCCTTTGTCCCAAAAATTTGAGTGGAACATGTTTGATTATTTGCCCAGATTTAATTAGAGAATCCTAGAAAATAATCTTCAAAACTTCACCAATACATATATATAGTGTATATAATGCTGTCCCAGCAGCACTTGTATTTTAGCTATTTAGCACTTTTATGGCTTCTTGTATCACACAAAGTGAGCCTCTCACAATCAAACCAGCAGGTCCTGAGAAGGCAGAGTCTTGAGCGTGAAGTTCACAGGCCACCTACCACTATTAGCTATCCCTAATATCCACACTGGCTTGTGGCACAAAGCCAGGCCTCTGTCCCAAACTCTGCCCGTGTACCTCTCAGGCCATCAGCATCAAGCTGCTGGATGACCTCCATCGGTACTTCTACTGGCCCCAACAAATCTCAGGCTCTGCATTTAAAAAAAAAAAAATTTTAACACCTACCAGATTGTGCAATATTAGCAACAGATTTTTAAATATGTAACATGCTTAAGTGGCAAGAGGTGTTAGTGAGTTATTAGCTAATTAATTCAAATACTGAAATGCCAACATAACATTAAATACCAAACCATTTGAGTGTCATGTAACCACTACGTGGAAAATGTGGCTTTGAGAGAGGATGAAGGTACGTATAAATATATTATTTCTATATGTAAGCATAAACAACTTTTATAAAATGTTTATTTGTTTATTAGGACAATTGTCCTATACATGAAAAATGTAATACCAAAAAATGAAACAAAGTGTCAGATAGTAGACTGTCAGAACTAGACTTTGCATTGTGCCTTTGAATCAGTCACAAATATACAACTCCTTTCTTAGCAACAAATCCTATTTGCATTTTTCACCTACAATTATCACATTGAAAACTGAAGTTTAATTCTGTATATTTTTTTCCAAAAAAAAGTTTATCCTTCAATATTGGTGAACTAGGTTAGAGAAAATTGCAACATACCTGAGATTATCCTCTGATTTGCCTCTTTCCCTTTGTCCCATTATGGTATGCAGACTCTGGAGACAATCAGCTCCTCATCTCAGCCCAGTTCCTAAGTGTCCTCTCCATTAAATGTTGCAATTTATCAGCAGGGGAGAGAATGTTGTACTCCAGCCTGTAGTTTAACAATGGTCAAGTGTCAATCTTGTTGAACAGCATGAAGTGTGCACTACAGCTCTGAACGTGTCATCCAATATTACTAGAACAATCTGGTTTTTAGAAATAATCTGATTTATGGAAGCTTGGGACACTCAAAGTTATAAGAACTTTTTAGCTAACAGAGCCCTGTTGGGCACAACTTCCAATAACTTGAAGTCATAGGACTTTTGTGTAAAGACCTCATGTTCAAACGCCAAGTGTCTCATTAATTTCTGCAACCATGTGTGATCTTACAATGTCTGAAAGTGTAACAGCAATTCATTTGCTGCTGTATTCAATTCGGGAATCACTGCAGTCGGAGACAGCAGTAAGGTTTTTGTACAACTGTTTCTGACAACACTTTACAACATTCTATTGTGTGACAAGAATAAAGGGATCATTGTAACTTAGTGAAGTTGGTGAGAAACAACACAAAATTATTTGTATATATAGCTGTAAGCCTTTTCTTAACTTCCTTCATATGTGCCTTTTATGTTGTGCTATATCAACTAACACAACTGTAATAAATAGGTCAAAGTAAAACACTGATGACACATGCCTGAAATAAATGTACGTAGGAAAAAAGGGTAACTTGCCAGTAAATAAAGTTTACTTACCTGTAAAAGGAGGTCTTCAAGATGGTTCTGCATATTCCCATGTATGGGTTATTGCACCACTTTGTGGTGCCTTGTGGCACCCCTCCCCTTAGTATCACCAGAGTTCTGAGGGAGAAGCTATACAGAGATGGAATGCCCCCACCTCCTCAGTTCCTTCCACCACAAAGCCAGAGACAAGGGCTCTGACAGAGAGGGTTAGGCAGGTCGGAAATGTGAATACACCGAGCTATCTCCAAGAACTCCGGTTACAGGTAGGTAACCTTCATTTTTTTGAGTGGCTCTGCATAGTCCTATTTATGGGACAGACAGATAAGCAGTGCTAAAAACTAACCTGGAGGCAGAAACAAAGTCCTTGTTGAATACAGACTGAAGCACTACCTTGATAAACCCAGTGGCCTCCCTGGAGGCCAAGTCCAGAGTATAAGGCTTAGTGAAGGTGTCCACCAAAGCCCAGGTACAGCCCTGCTAATTTCAGCAACTAGCACCTGCTGAAGACAAATGAAGTAGCTGCAGCTCATGTGGTTGAGTTGCAGCAGATACAAGAGCTTTTGTGAATGTGTAACATGCAGCAATACACAACAGTTTAATCCACAAAGAAATAGTCTAGGAAGAGACTGTACAACCCATGTGGTTATTAGCATAAGATACGGACAGTCTAGATGATTTACAAAAATGCTTAGTTCTGTCCAAATAGGGAAGAGCCCTTCTGGCAACCAAAGTA